AAAAAAGTCATCGTCAGGACAGTCCTTCCCATCACAGGCTCAGAGGCCTAGGAGGAAAGAGTGGTTTTGGGAGCCAGGCCCAGAGGCCCAGGGCCCTGTTTCCCTGTGCAGCCTTGGGACACTGCTCCCACACCCCAGCCGGTCCAGCTCCAGCATCACTTGGAAGGGCTCTGAGTACAGCTCTGCTGCTCTGGAGGCTGTAAGCCAGAAGCCTTGGCAGCTTCCACATGGTGTTAAGCCTTCAGGTGCACAGAGTCTGGGAGTGAAGGAGACTGGGCAGCTCCGCCTGGATTTCAGAAGATGTATCAGAAAGCCTGGGTGCCCAGAAAGAAAACTGCCGCAGCGGTGGAGCCCTCACAGAGAACCTCCGTAGGGCAGTGTGGAGGGGAAGTGTGGGATGGAGGCCCCACACGGTCCTCACCAGGGCATTGCCTAGTGGAGCTGTAGGGATGGGGTCACTGCCCTCCAGACCTGAAAATGGTAGGACCACCAGCAGCTTGCACCCTGAGCCTGGAAAAGCCACAGGCACTCAAGTCCAACCCATGAGGGCAGCCACAGGCGCTGCATCCTGCAAATACACGGGGTGGAGCTGCCCAGGGTCCTGGAAGCCCCAGGCCTTGCTCCAGTGTGCCCTGGGTGCGGGTCACAGACTCAAGGATCATGCTGGAGCTTTCAAGTTTCAAGTCTGCCCTGCTGGGTTTCAGACTTTCATGGGGCCTGTTGCCCCTTTCTTTTGACCAATTTCTCCCTTTTGGAATGGGAATGTTTACCCAATCCCTGCACCACCATGCTATCTTGGAAGTAAATAGCTTCCCAAAGTGTTGAGATTACAGGCATGAGCCACTATGCACCGGCCAATCTGGTTGTTTTAAAGAGCCTGGCACCTCCACGTCTCTCTCTTGCTCCCTCTCTTGCCACGTGACACACCTTCTCCCGCTTCACCTTTCATCATGATTGGAAGCTTCCTGAGGCCCTCACTGGAAGAAGATGCCGGTATTATGCTTCTTGTACAGTCTGCAGGACCGGGAGCCAAATGAATGTCTTTTCTTTTTTTTTCTTTTTTTTTTTTATTATAATTTATTTTATTTAACAATCTAGGAAGTTCGCAGCCATCAGCAGTTCTAGTGCAATTTCAGGTGCAATTGGGAATTCAGGAATCTCAGTGGAGCTGTTAGTGTAGCGAACCTTGTACGTAAAATACATGCATACTTTTGATAGCACATGTGAAGGTATCTCTCTAAAATTGACCTCATTGGTTTCGTTCTCAGCAAATTGACCTGGGCCACTCAACATGGCTTTTATTGTGCCTGATGTTAATGCATGTTCTCTTTTTACAATAAATTCATGGCCATCAGATGATATCAATTTGACATACATGGCATCGGGTCCTTCACAGCCACCATAGGTTTTCTCCTCTCCATCCATTTTGTTCTTATGAAAAATTCTACTTTGCTTCCCCAGGAACTTTAGCAGTTTCCTGGTGAAGCGAGCACGCAGAGTGTGTCGCTTGAATGTCTTTTCTTTATGAATTTTTTTTTTTTTTTGAGATGGAGTTTCGCTCTTGTTATCCAGGCTGGAGTGCAATGGCGCGATCTCGGCTCACCGGAACCTCCGCCTCCTGGGTTCAGGCAATTCTCCTGCCTCAGCCTCCTGAGTAGCTAGGATTACAGGCACGTGCCATGATGCCCAGCTAATTTTTTGTATTTTTAGTAGAGACAGGGTTTCACCATGTTGACCAGGTTGGTCTCGATCTCTTGACCTCGTGATCCACCCGCCTCGGCCTCCCAAAGTGCTGGGATTACAGGTTTGAGCCACCGCGCCCGGCCTTTCTTTATGAATTACCCAGCCTCAAGAATTACTTTATAGCAATGCAAATGGAGAAATACCCCAAATAACTGCTTCCTTACCCAGGGAAGCCCCAGCAGTGGGGTCCTGGAGCTGTCTTTGCCTAGTATGGGACTCCTAGGACGGGCAGTGTTGGCTCTGGAGCTCCCGGTTGGGGCTGCCGAGACTTTCAGATTTGCATTATGGTCTGATGCTCCCCCCTGCTGAGGCCTGCTGTCTCTCCTTTTGTCTTATTAATTTATTTATTGAGATGGAGTTTCGCTCTTATTGCCCAGGCTGGAGTGCAATGCCATGATCTTGGCTCACTGCAACTTCTACCTCCTGGGTTCATGTGATTCTCCTGTCTCAGCCTCCCAAGCAGCTGGGATTACAGGCGTGCACCACCACGCCTGGCTAATTTTTTGTATTTTTAGCAGAGACGGGGTTTCACCATGTTGGTCAGACTGGTTTCAAACTCCAGACCTCAGGTGATCCACCCACCTCAGCCTCCCAAGTGCTGGGATTACAGGCGTGAGCCACCACAGCCGGTCTCTCCCCTTTTATTGTTCACGGGTGTTCCTCACCGATATGCTTCTTATACTCCTGAATCCATCTCAGCATCTAGGTCCTGGGGAATCTGAACCCACACACCAATACTCCATACACTTTATCATGCCCAAGTAAATGCCCCTCGCAGCTGAGCCACACAGCATAGAGAGAGGAAACGTCCTTGCAGCACCGCTCTGTGTCCTCCCTGGTGCTAGAATTAGTGGAGTTTGGTTTGGTTTGGCTTGGGTGTACTAATCCCAAATTCAATCCCAAGCCTTCTGCCAGTAGTTTGAATCTACTCTCACACCTTCGTCCACATCGTGTGTTCTGTAAATTTCACCTTCTTGATGAAATCACTTGAGGGCCCTTTTGCCCTGCTCCAGTCTGATCTGACTGCCCTTTCTGCCCAGGGCACAGATGGGGCCATTCGGCTACTCCTTCCAGCAACACCTTCAGATCACTCCTTACCTCCAGAGGTGGATGTCCTGCTTTTTTTCTGGTCCTGGGATTTCCCATTTCTGAGAAGGGTGGAAGATGTGCTCGACCAAAATGAGAAAGAAAGTAGGGAAGAAAGAAAGGGATGTAGATTTATTGAAATCTTTCATGTCTGAAAATGCCTTTAGTCTATCTACCTTCCTACTTGATTTGTAGTTTGGCTGGGTATAAAATGAAGCTTGGAAATATAGTCACACATTGCTTAATAATAGGGATGCATTAGAAGAAATGCATCATTAGGTAATTTTGTCATTGTGCGAATATCATAGAGTGACTTACACAAACCTGTGTGGTACAGCCTACTATACCCCAGGCTATATGGTCTAGCCTACTGCTTCTAGGCTACAAGCCCGTACAGCATGTTACTGGAGTGAATACTGTAAGCAATTATAAGACAATGGTAAGTATCGATGTGTCTACACATATCTAAACACAGGAAAGATACAGTAAAAATATGGTATCTTATGGGACCACCACTGTATATGCAGTCAATGGTTGACTGAAATGTTGCTATACATTGCTTACCTGTAGTTTTTTGTTTTTTGGTTTTTATTTGAGATGGTGTCTCACTGTGTCACCCAGGCTGGAGTGTGGTGGCATGATCTTGGCTCACTGCAACCTCCGCCTCCCAGGTTCAAGCGATTCTCCTGCCTCAGCTTCCCAAGTAGCTGGGATTACAGGAGCCTGCCAGCACGCCCAGCTAATATTTGGTTTTTAGTACAGATGGGGTTTTACCATATTGGCCAAGCTGGTATCAAACTCCTGACCTTGTGATCCACCCACCTTGGCCTCTCAAAGTGCTGGGATTACAGGCGTGAGCCACCGTGCCTGGTCAACTGTAGTTTATTTCAAGGGCACTGGTCCAGCATCCTCTAGCTTCCAGTGTTGCTCTGAGAAGTACAAAGTCAGTCTGATTTCTACTCCTTGGTATAAGATATTTCCCACATACCTGCCCTTTTATATTTTCCCTTTTTGGGAACTTGTAGAACCTTCTCTGTCCCTAATCTTCATGATGATTTGCTTTGTTAAAAATCTGTTTTCTGCCAGGCGCGGTGGCACATGCCTGTAATCCCAGTACTTTGGGAGGCCAAGGTGGGTAGATCACAAGGTCAGGAGCTCCAGACCAACCTGGCCAATATGGTGAAACACCATCTCTATTAAAAATATAAAAATTAGCCAGGTGTGGTGGCATGCGCCTGTAGTCTCAGCTACTAGGGAGGCTGAGGCAGAAGAATTGCTTGAACCTGGGAGGTGGAGGTTGCAGTGAGCCAAGATCATGCCACCACGCTCCAGCCTGGGTGACACAGTGAGACACCATCTCAAAAAAAAAAAAAAATCTGTTTTCATCTATTATTCTGGCTTCTTGGTAAGCTCTTTCCTTCAGTTCTGAGACATTTTCTTGATTTACATGATCAATTATTTCTACCCCTCCATTTTCTCTGTTCTTACTTTCTGGAACTTCTATAACTCAGATACTGGCCCTTCTGTCTGGATCTATGACATTTTCCTTTTTTATTTTCCATCTCACTTCTTTAATTTTATCTTCTAATCCTTATTTCGAGGTTTTAATTTCTATACGTATGTGTGTAAGTGTAAATATATATTACATATCCACCCATATACTGTCCGTAAATATAATATATAAAGAATATGTACTATATATTATAAATATATTAATATAAAACATATAGGTAGATAATTTTCATGGCCTCTTTTCTGTTCTCTGAATACAGCATTCCTTTTTCCTTAGGTTCTGTTCTTGTTTTATGATTGCAATTCTCTTATCTCTCTGAGGATATTGATGAGATTTCTCTGAGGATATTGATGAGATTGTTACTCATTTTTGAAGTTTTCTTCTTCCTATAGGGTCTCACTCTGTCACCCAGGATGGAGTATAGTGACATAATCATAGCTCACTGTAACCTCAAACTCTTGAGCTCAAGCCATCCTCCCCCATCAGCCTTTCCACCACCAAGCCCAGCTAGTTTTAAGATTCTTTGGAGAGATGAGGTCTTGCTATGTTGCTCAGGTTAGTCTTGAACTCCTGGCCTCAAGTGATCCTCCCGCCTCAGCCTCCCAAAGTGCTGGGATTATAGGCTTGAGCCACCACACCTGGCTCTCTTTAGGATTCTTGAGAACCTATTATACACTCCATATGTTATGCTGAATATTTACAATTATGCTGTAAGATATATTATCTCCAACTTACAGATTAAAAAAAGATAATCAGTTGGGTAAGACAGCTCATACCTGTAATCCCAGCACTATGGGAGGCCAAGGTGGGTGGATCACCTGAGGTCAAGAGTTCAAGACCAGCCTGGCCAAACATGGTAAAATCCTGTCTCTACTAAAAATACAAAAATTAGCCAGGCATGGTGGCAGGCACCTGTAATTCCAGCTACTGGGGCGGCTGAGGCAGGAGAATTGTTTGAATTCAGGAGGCGGTGGGTACACTGAGCTGAGACCATGCTACTACACTCCAGCCTGGGCAACAAGAGCAAAACTCTGTCACACACAAAAATAATAGTAACAATAATAATAATAATAATTGTCTGGGCCTGGTGGCTCATGCCTGTAATCCCAGCACTTTGGGAGGCCGAGGTAGGCAGATTACAAGATCAGGAGTTTGAGACCAGTCTGGTCAACATAGTGAGACCCCGTCTCTACTAGAAATACAAAAAATTAGCCAAGTGTGGTGGCGTGTGCCTGTAATCCCAGCTACTCAGGAGGCTGAGGCAGGAGAATCGCATGAACCCGGGAGGCGGAGGTTGCAGTGAGCTGAGATTGAGCCACTGCACTCCAGCCTGGGTGACAGTGTGAGACTCTGTCTCAAAAAAGAAAAAAGAAAAAAATCAAAGTTCACCAAGTTGCCTTTTTCTGTCCGTTGACTTTGCTCTTTCTTGTTGGGGGCTTTGCCCAGGTTTCGGGTGGCGTCTGGACCCTACAGAGCACTGCTGACTCAGGGCCTCACTCTCAGGTCTGTCGGCTGCTGTGGCAGAGGCCGCCGTGGCAGAGGCCGCCGTGGCAGAGGCCGCCGTGGCAGACCGTCAGGGACCGGGCGCCCCGTCAGCTGAAGCTTGTTTCTCACGTGCTGGAGGCTGGAAATGCGACACCGCAGGGTCAGCAGGGCTGACTCCTTCCAAGGCCTCTCCTCCTGGCTTGTGGACCGTGTCTTCTCCCTGTGCCTTTACGTAGCCTTCCCTTTCTACGTGTCTGCAAATTCCTGCTCCTTATTCGGGCACCAGCCGTGTTGGATCAAGGCCATCCGTGTGACCTCATTCCACCTCAATCCCCTCTTTAAAGGCCGCCGTGTCCATATGCAGTCACATTCGGAGGTGCCAGGGGTTAGGACTTCATCGGGGACATCTGAGGAGACACGGTGCAGTCCGTAGCACCCCCATACTCCTGAAGCCTGGCTCTCTGGCCCAGGTTCCACTGCTTCTTGGAAACAGCTCCTCCCAGAGTCACTGGCCACCCTCTTGATGTCCGTTCCCCCGGAGAGAGGCTCCTCTGTCCTCTGGCTGGGTCTCTCAGCAGCTCACCGTTTCTCCTGAGAGTCTCCACCCTCTGGCATCCGTTGGGTCTCCTTTCGCGCCAGTTTTCCTGCCACATCT